ATAATTTTGAGATGTATTAGCAGGAGTGTTGTAAGTAAGACACGAGAAGTAATTATTTCACTCTACTCCACACTGATTAGGCCTCAACTGGAGTATTGTGCCCAGTTCTGAGTGCCACATTTCAGGAAAGATGTGGACAAACAAAGATATGGAGAAAGTCCAGAGAAGAGCAACAAAAATGACTAAAAGTCTAGAAAACAGGACATATGAGGAAAAATTTTAAAAATTGGGTTTGTTTAGTCTGGAGAAGAGAAGACTGGGGGGGGGGAACACGATAACAGTTTTCAAGTACATAAAAGGTTGTTACAAGGAAACAGGAGAAAAATTGTTCTCCTTAACCTCTGAGTTAAGGTTGGACATTAGAAAAAACTTCCTGTCAGGGTAGTTAAGCAATGGAATAAATTGTCTAGGGAATTTGTGGAATCTCCTCATTGGAGATTTTTAATAAGCATCTGTCAGGGATGGTCTAGATAATACTTAATCCTGCCATGAGTGCAGGGGACTGGACTAGGTGACCTCTTGAGGTCCCGTCCAGTCCTACAAGTCTATGATTAAAATAAATAGATAGCTAATTTAATACCTGTTTCTTAGAGAGTTTTCGGTCATTGATTTATTGCTGTATGTTCAGACTCCTTCCAGTTGTGGAAGGGTTGGTTATATCTATAGGCAGCCCTTTTGTATTATTCTGTGTTTTTAATTTATGGGATTGTGAAACAGAGACCCATTGGTGGCTCACTACTTTGTGTCAGCAACTCTTATTAGGACTGAGAAACACACTACACCTAACATATTGCTGTCACAGTATTTCTCTATAAATCACGTCAAGTGAGATATCAAATGAAAACCAGTGAGACATTGATCATTGTCATGAAATGTATGTATTAACACTGTAGGAAGACTTATGGATACTTCCTGATATTATGTTGTAAAGTCTAACAAGGCAGAATGGGCAAAGAGGTCTTCTGCTATTCAACTATCTCTGTCTCTAATGTAAGTTAACCATTGCGAAGCCACTTCACACTTGCAAGTGAAGTAAACAGGAAAAACAAGTTAAAAAGGGGGGTGTAAAGGCAGCATGGCACTGGCACCCAGGAACAAGCAGCATGGGAGGACAGTCTTATCTGAGGGTACTCTTCAAAAGGATACATTTCAAAGGTTTGCTGGACTACAAGAATCCCCTTTGGTTATCCATTTCACTGACGAACACCCTTTAATACAGAGGGAGGTGGTTCATGAAAAATCTGGATCCTGATTTGATTGAAAATCAGCAAGCTCTGCGGACTTTGAGGGTGAGAAACTCTCTCAAAGGAGTGTAGCTTGTCAAAGTTACGATGAGTCTTTTAGAAGCGTATTACACTTTTGTTTTATTTGTAAGCATGTTTCCTTTCTGAATACTTACTTGAATCTGTGAATCTCTTTCTGTTAATATACCTGTATTTGTTCTCACTATAAATAAATTACAGTGCGATGTTGTTAGAAAGGACCTGATCTTGAGTTGTAACCTTCCAGTGATATGTAAGTCTCTTTGCAGACAGAGGACTTGGTAATTACTATGAGTAACTAGTGATAGGGGCTGGGCACTATAAGGAGGCACTAAAGGATGGCAGAGCTGAGATTGTTTGGGTGGCTAACAGACTGGGGTGACAGGGAACTGACACCCAGTTTAGCACCAGCAAGTCTCTCTCTTGCTGAGGTAGGGGAAAGTATCTGAGGACTAGTGGTACTTAAGTGGAGCTAGCCTGCATCCATAATGCAAAGTGGTCATGTTAGCAGCTGACTGAGTTGTTCTAACTCAAGTTTTACCCTGCACCCCCTGATGGACCACCTATCTCGAGTTAAATCACCACCACACTTGATGATGAGTTTGGGGCAACACCCGAGTTAAAGCTTGTCATCACTGCAAAGTTAAGAGGATAAGTCTCATTGAGCTTCAATGGGACTCATGTCTCAAGTTAGTACTTTTGAAAATCCCAGCCTCAGCTGTGTACCCCAAACAAAACTTACTGTAGATATTGATTAGTACTAACTTCATACATATGAAGTTTGTCATGCCATTCCTCTATTTCTATGCCTGTTCTGCTCTTGTGAGCACTCTGCAGGGGACTGAAATTAACAAGCATCATACTGTGAATTACAATTTTGGTGTGGTGTTTAAAAGGAAAATGTACATCTGTTATTGCTTTTCCTTTCCTTAAACCAGAACTGCATCATGCAAAATTGAATGATCCTTACAGAGCAATTTAAAATAGATTTATGACATTTGCAAAGCAAACCTACTAGCAATACTGTAACTGAATAACACACCATAGTATCATGTTCTAACTTCTATATTCCCTAAACCAGGCCTGCACAACATGCAGCCC